GCTGTAGAACATTGTATTAATTTGAAGCACGCCCTCTCGGTGCGTTACCCATCTCATACATGTATGTCGGTCAGTACCTCAATAAACAATCCTAGTAATCTACGAAGTGCCTCAGGCTGGTCATTAACATACATGGTGTCAGAAGTTGAGGAAAATTATCAACTTTTAGTGGATTCACATTTTGAAGGTACATTTGTATAGTAAAGTACGATGGTATACATTATTGCTGCTTGGGTACAGCTAGGACCATCAATAGCAACGAAACATGGCCGACTATGGGATACGTAGACTGGATCCGATTCCCTTTCAAGGAAACGTAGCTGAAAACTGGAGACGTTTCGAACTAGATTTTGATATATATATATTGAAGCCGCCCATGGAAATAAATCAGACAGAGAGAAAGCATACATATTATTAAATGTTGCAGGCAAGATGCCATTGAAAAAAGTAAGAGGTTTTACCTACAAACCTGCAATTACTGATGCTGACGGCAACGTTACTCCATCTGAGTCCACTGAAAAACTGGCAGACCCAAAGAAAAAATTTTGTGACTTTTGCTTACCACGAAAGAATATTATACCAGAAAGGCATAAATTCAACACTCTTTCTAAATTACCAGATGAACCTGTTCAAGCAAACCCTTTCAAAAGTTGTGAATTTGGTCCGATAACTGACGAGCTAATAAAAGATAGGATCGTATGAGGTGTTGATAAAGAAGTAGTGAGAAAAGCGTTATTATCTCAGAGTGAATTAACTTTGGATGAAGCCATTCAGATATGCCTGGTTCATGAAACTACAGAAAATGCAAACAAACAATTGTCACAGACAATCGACGTACTAAAGTTTGAAAAAACCAAATCGCAGCACAGTAAAGTTTGTGGAAGGTGTCTCATCCACGATATAATTGTCCTGCATATAACAAAGAGTGCAGCAGATGTGGAATTTTAGGACCTTTTGGAACACAGTGTAGGAAACCTAGGGGTACTAGTGCACAACACAAGCATACTTACAAGAAACCCCAAGTGAAACAAAGATACAAAAAAAAGCCTAATAAGCAGACAGTGTATGATATCGCAACAGAAGAAGCACAAAATGAAGAATTCTTTGTTGTAGAAGGCATAAACATTGATACAGTTGACAGAAAAAATGTAATAAAAAACAACTGTAATGGTCAACAATCACCCTCTCACATTAAATATAGACACTGGAGCCAAGTGTAATGTAATACCACTAAATACTCTGCAAAATATTAAAGCTGCTGATGACATAGACCAATCAAAAAAGCCAAATCTGGTAGCATATAGTGGTAATACCATAACTACTTTGGGAATGGCAAGATTAATGATAGATTCTGCGGGAAAACAACACCAACTGAAATTCTATGTTCTTGAAGGTGATTACACTCCCATAATTGGATTAGCAGATTCTTTAAAACTTGAGTTGCTAAACGTTAATGATAACATGGTGCATGTCGTAACACAAGATATTCCAGAACTAACAGAGTTTTCGGATGTTTTTGGTGACGATTTGGGCAAGTTACTGATGAAATATAAGATGTCTGTAGACCCTTCACTACCGTACCGTTAGTGGTAAGACCACCAAGGAAAGTTCCAAAGCCCATGGAGGACAAAGTAATTAAAGAACTTAAACGAATGACAAAAATTGGCGTCATCACTCCTGTAGAAGAGGCAATAACATGGGGGCCCTATACAGTACGCTGAGGTCGGAGAGATGGCCCCATAATCTTATGCTCTGTCATTGACACAAATTGTCTCTACATTTTTTTACATTTAAATACTTTAAACATAATTCATATTTTCCCCCTCCCCTCATTTACATTCCTTTTACAATTTAGTCCTCAATGATATCTTTCTTGACATCGATAATTGCCCTAAGAGACCTTGAATTCAGCAAAACAATTCTCGTGAAAAAGACATGTATCCCTCACCCTAAAGTAATAAACAAGGAATCTACATAATTTAGCACTCATGGGATGTAATCTTACAATAGATACAGTGTGCTGTTATATTAGTTCACATGTTATTAAACACTCGAAAGAATCTTCATAATACATTTACTAAGAAAGCATGTCGTGATTTTAATCATATCGCAAGCGTTCGTGCGCCCGACACACTTCGTCGAAAATAGTAAATTCAAAAGAGACAATTATAATAATACGTCCTTGATATTATACTAGATAGACTTAAAGTTGGACAAATGAGTTTGTTTGCGAACTAACTAATTAAATTGTTACATGAAGTTTGATACAAACAATCGACGGGATTTTAGTACGTTATGTTTTTCTTCCCGTAGATTGGTTTCTATACCAAACATGAGTAATAACAATAGACAATACAATACATAATCACCTCTAAAAACTATACTATAAAATACTATACTATACTAAGTCAGCTTCAACTAGATTAAACATGAGAAATTATATCAACATTTTTTTTGGAGACATTGACGCATGAATACCGGCAAGTTATACATCCAAGTTTGATAGAGATTTATATGAAAAGGTTTACAATTAAAACTTTTAGGAACTGACCAACCATAGAATTTCGAACACAAGAGAGGACAGTAACCTTTTAAATAATAAAACGGAGACTTGGTGAATGGAAAATTAGAATTACATCTAGGCCTACTGCACGTGGGTTATAGTCTATAAGGCATATCATACATCAACATTCAATCGTGGAAAAATTAGTACAAAAACATTAAAAAAATTATTTTATAAAAAGTGTAAGCAATTAGGCATTCAGATACCTTACCAAGCAGTTATCATAACAATTTTGTACTAACTTTCTTGTCTCAAATAGAGGACCCCGGGTCGGTTAAGAGGCGCGTAAATCGGGACGGCCTCTCTCTCCCGAAAAATAAACCATCTCCCGCAAATTCATTAATTCCGCATGTTTTTACTACTGTAACCATTTTATTATCATTTGTCTCGCGGAAGTCAGTGTCGATGGTACTGTATCACCATAAGCAGCAAAACAAAAGTAGATGTCCTAAAAGCTGGTTTAAACAGAGCTCTCCTGGGAATGACCTCTTTTAACATAGGACCCCTTTTGGTTCAAAATACTGTACAAAGATAGGCCTAACTATGTTGTACTGTACTGTACTAGGAACACCAAAAAAGCAATAAAAATGTAATGATTTGGCATTTTCTTATCTTCGATTAATGGAAGGTTACCTCCATTTAATGTATGGATTTGCTGATCTAATTACGATAACGGAAAATCAACTCGTTTAGAAAATTCGAGAGAATGGGCAGTGTTTACCTGTACCAAATGAAATACCTTGGCCTACTTTTATCCCGTAAAAAGGAACAATCGAAACTCTCGCTAAACACAGGTCGTATGACTAATAAAAAGAATAACCTAATGAACTGTCGTTTTAAAAGTATGAATAGATACAGAAACCAATTGGAAAAAGCAACAATATGATTTCGTATAGTAAAATATTGCCTCGTTGCTAAAATCTTGTAAAATCGTGTAGTTCTCACAAGAAACACGAGTGCTTTCTTCTGTCATGATGCGAAGTCTCAGACACAAAGCCTGACACGATCATTAGATAAAAGCTAAGATTATCTTGTCATCGGCAATAATTTGATAATCTAAATTTATAAAAAAAATGTTAACTGTATGTTGATCATAGAATTTTATTACAAACTACAATCAATACGCTTTTATAAATGGCTACCAATTTAATCTTTGATTTTAACTTGCAGATTTATTACTTTTTGTATATATTTCTTTAATTGTAATGACGTTATATAAGTTTTATCCGTAACGTTTTAGTTTAAAGTGAATATAAAAAGTATTTCCACTATAGGTTAAAGACACGGCCTTGCTGAAAAACAAATTTAAATAATTCTGTTGAATATAATTTCCCTTAGTAGTATCTCATTCGATTTTGCTAATGCACAGATGTATCTTATAAATCTTTGGGAGTCTGGTCGCATTCGACATGAATAGGCACCTGGATTCACAACAACGTATTTGTGGTCTCCTATTGGAGATTAAGTTTATTTATTCTTTGTCAAAAATATCTTAATGTGTGTAGGTGTGATTTTCTTTCATATACTTTTTTTTTATATAATAACCTATTTTTGACAACAAATCCTACTACTACTAGAATACGTTATTATTATTATTATTATTATTATAGTATTCAAATTACAAAATTCAAAGGCTCATTTTCAATTCAATTTGTTGGTCTGTAAAGTCCTGCCCACCTTCTCTAATTCTATAAATAGGATTAGTTGTGGTACACGCCAAATAGACTTATTTGTTAAATAACTTAATATGTCATACACAATTTTAAGTTATCTATACACAGAAATATAAGTAGGAACTATTGAATACTTTTATCGGATGGTTGATTCTATGCTACATTTTACCATTGTTCTCAGGTCATGACTTTCCATCGGTGACTTACCTAAGAAAAACTGGCCATTGTCTAGCTTTGTGGGTTCATCTGCGATCGCAAGCCAGACAATGGTGTCTGCTCCCTGCTCTGGAGATCGTAGTTTCTCCTTGAATGTATTGTAGAATCCCGGCATTGATGTCCTCACAGCGGGGGTGTCTGCCCAACCGGGGTGCATAGCGGAAAACAGCACATTTGAATGTTGTTTTGCCCATTGGCTTGTCATCACAACTTGTTGACGCTGAGGATGGGTGGGTAATAAAATAATATTAATTTTGAAATGAAGTAGAATAATTTTTTAAAACTGATAACAATAATATTAACTTTGGAAGGAAGTAGAATGGGTGGATGGATCATGGACCTAATTAATAGGTCCATGGAGGGATTTATTTAGTGTAATACCAAAGATAATCATGAAAGCCTGTAGAAGACTGATGTTGTTGAGATAGCAAGTTAAAATTGTTAAATTATAGAGGCCAGCATTCGTTTTGATGTGTTTTAGATCACGTCAGAAGAGACGTTGTGGTGTTGAGCCAAATATCAGGGTTGTTGTTGAAACCCCGGCAAAAGAAAGAATAAAAATAAATTTACTTAAATGACAGAACTGTCATCGAGAAAGTCATTTACATCTAGTTTCCATAACAACTGATTTCCAGTGGGGTCCTTCAGGATGTTCGTTGGGCAGTAAACAGTGAGACAATCCCCTGCTTTTTTTCGAAGAGCGTATTGCATTCTTTAACGTGCATATGGGCCATAATGCACACAGGACCAACGGCTAAAATATCTCATTCATAAGACGGTGCAGTATGGTAACTTGCATTTCAGCCCTTAGCTGAAATACATCATATAATCATCACCACGAGCATCATCATCACCATCATTGTCGACAATTATGATGTACATCATTTATTTAAATACAGTATATATTTTCTTTAATGGAATGCTGACAGACTGTGTGCTATCTACCTTATTTTGAGCATAAACAAAAGTACCATCAAACTTGCTCATTTTATCACTGTTGAAATCCTCAATGTTTAGTTTTGTTGTGTACATACCACCTGATGATACAGTTATCTGCACAAAAATAAAAATTAATAATAATAGTAATCATGAGAATGCTATTCATCTCACCACATAGAGTGGTTACCAACCTTCTCGCATATGAAGAATGGGCCTGCATTTCAAAGTAATTTTTTTTATGAAACATGCATTTTGCAAAACCTATGCATGATTATGATTTTATTGGTTTATTAGTGGCGCCGCCACTGTCTCACAATTTACTGGGGGACTTCCAGCGGCCTAAGCCTAGCCTAAGCAGCTGGCTAGTGTCAGATAGAGTGTCACATCCACACTAGACTATGTAGCGAAGTGTGTAGGCTTCTAGAAGTCCCCCAGTGGTTGTTGTTATCGGAAAATTTCATTTCAAATTTCGCGAAAATGCTCTATAGGAACTTGTTTATATAAATAAGCAGCAGATGTTTATATAGGGCAAATGTCATGTTTAAAACAAGACCATTTAGTGTAATTTAGTGTATTATCCATAGAACTTTTTTTTTTAATATTCTAAATGTGTTTTTGATGAGTGTGTGATAAATTGGTCTATACCCTTCCCAAACTCAGGCCTTCACCTCCTAATTGGCACTGCACTCCCATAGTCCACTCAAACACATTGTTATCAGTCACGCATTCAAATAAGTCTTCAGAATTTTGTGGGTTATACTTGGTGTTTTTTACACTGAAATCCAAACTAAACCAATATTATAAAGAACAACATTGTGAAATACAAAAGCCTTCCTGGAGCTGCACTTCTCTAGAAGCTTACCACTCTGCCTTGACTTGATTTACTAAGCAGAGGAATCAATTCAGTTGTTAGGATGTAAGTTCCAAGAGTGTTGGTAGCAAAATTCTTTTCAAGTCCATCTTCTTGTTTTTCTCTTGTATTGATCATGCAACCTGCATTATTCACCTATAAATAAATAGAAAAAGTTAAAAAAATCTAAATAAAAATGCAATGTACCTTTGCTCTCCTAGCCACATCTTTTCTCTGCTACGCTTTTTCCACCTAGGTTAGCCAGACTTCAGAGGAAAACAAATTTTTGATATGTTGTATAATTGATTTTTTTCAAAGAAATAAAAAGGATCTTGACTAAAAACTGGGAAACAGTTAATGAGATAGATTTTTTAATATTGTTTTTATATTTTCCTACAGAGTCTGGCTTTAAGTTCAATTGGATAACCAATATGTTTATTCTCTATATAGACACATTCTATAGCAATTATCCTTTTTTGTTTATTCTAATTTTGATATCCTATGAGTTTGCAAAGCATAGGAGCCCTATGTGAAAACTGAGACTTTCTATGAAACGGGTTACCCAGTTTAAATAATAAATCTTTGCAATATTTTCTATTAATTTACTGTATTTACTCTGTTTAATGACATATATATCTCAGCTCTAAATATACTTTTAGTGCCTTGAGCACTACTGCAGTGGATTTGTGCGCTTTATAAATCTTATTATTATTATTATTATTATTATTATACTTTACATTTATTTTGAGATCACAACTCTTTTATTTATATTTGAAGGAACAGCAATAATATTTTTTTCTTTGGTGACTGTAGTTGGTAGTTCCTTAGTAGGCATGATGGCCAATCATGCACACTGCATACGAAATCAGTGATGCCTTCATTCAACTTGTAGATAAACTTACAGAATCAATATTTATGCAAATCCCCAGTCAATGAATTTGTGAAGTGTTTATAGTGTGATATTTCAAAGTTAAATCTCCAAAGCTATAATCAGGTATTTATAGCGCAACACTTTCTAAGTTAAGTCTCTAAAGCTATAACCAGGTATGCTGGAATTCAATCCAGGATCTGGGGATTGGATCAATTAATATTTGATCCGCATATTTACTAATAAATTTAATACCTCTGTGGCTTACTATAAATTTCCGAGCTACTTATTTTACTGTTTGATTTAAAGAAAATAAATAAATAAGAATACAACAATACAACTTACTAGAACATCTAACAATGGCTGGTTTTCTTGGAAGCTTTTTGCAAATTCAAAAACATTATTTGGTTTTGACATATCCAGGATGTGGAGATGGATGTCCTGAAGAAAAAAAAAAAAAAAGTAAAGTTAGTTCATTTGACCTAGTTCAGCTAGTACAGAAGTACAGAAAAGAGAATTCAGGCTCAGACTACAGCAGCCTCTTTTGGGGGTCAAATGGGCAGTAGTGTGGACACATTAATATGTTTGCCTTCCAATCCCAGTGTCTTATGTCAATGTTACAGAAATTTTCTCACGACTGAAAATAATTGACTCCCTAAGCCTCACTATGGGACTTATTTTAGGTAAAGCATCTTTTCTGTCTGTTTGTCTTGTGGAATGGGATTGCCAGTAGGACAGTGATTAAGTTTGCTACTGGCATTCCTTGGCACTAGTTCCAATAGTGAATAACAAAAAATTTAACACAGTCTGAGGCACCTGATTTCCTGTTTTTTGAATGATGTTATTTTTGGCTTCCTCGCCTCGCTCCAGATTTCGGCAAACCATGTGTACAGTACCACCTGGGAAAAACAACCTTAAAGCTTAGAAGAAGGCTAAATGTATAAAGTTGTTTACATTGAATACAATAATTTTTATTTTTTAAAATTTTATTTATTAAAATAATAAAACAAGCTGTTTGCCATGATTACACCTGGATGGCTATAGTACTCCAGAGTGATGTTATGTTTTAGTTCAAGCTAATGAGATTGATCAGGAGCCAATCATAGACCTGTCGAACCTAAGACATTTGGAAAAGCATTTTTTCCAAACACTTTTTTTTATTATTCTTATCATTTATATAGTGTCTTTTCTTTGCAGATACAAAGAGCTTCTTTTCCTGGTCATTGGGTCCAAATGCCACTGGTAATCAGCGCAGGGGCAGACGACACCACCAGGTACCCAATGCAGATAAAGCGCCTTCCTCCAAGTGAAATGTACAGATAGGGATTAAAACCTCGACCCTGACAACCCCACCACCACTTATTTCTTATTAACAATAATGCTCTTATATATTGTACTATAATTATTATTATTATTATTGAACAAATTAATCAGGTTTGTAAATAAATATCTTTATCAATTAATATTACCATTATTATCACATTTGTCATTTTTATCATTATCATTAATATAATACTGATATAATATTATTAGTATTACATAGGATGCATCACTAACCCTTTTGTGCTAAAGTTTCAGCTGCAGATTTTCCAATCCCACTGTTTGCTCCGGTTACCATAAAAACCTTTTCCGACAAATCAACATCAAGGGCCTTTAGGTCAAAAGATTTTTCAGATTTGTTGTATCCACCTCTGATCAAATGAACATACACAAAATTATATAGTTTCAATGATGTTAAGTGTGATGTTAAACATAATATAAAATATTGTTTGAAGGTTTGCATGGCGAAGTAATAATATAATATTAATGCTTGCGGTACCACATAGACAGTTCTGAAAAGAACTGTTGTTGTTGGTTGAGAATATCTCGATGTTTCGATTGAGTTGCTCGAATGTCTTCAGGAGAATAATATCTGTAGAAATCCCAAAACAGTAATGTTTTGGTGAGTGAGACTTGGTTGACAACTAAACAATAACTGAGAGTATGTGTGAAAAGGCTAAACAATATATAACATAAAACATAATATATAAAACATAATATATTTATGAAAACTGGCACCTGAAAGAGCTAGAATTATTTTATACTATCACAAAAACTGAAAATTTAAAATAGATAGATACAGAACCTGACAGAAAATAAGACTTTTCAAAGAATACCAATTCTTTCTAGAGTGGGAAATGAACATCTATGTTTTCAATTTACCTTTCAATTTATTTTAAAATTTATATATACACCACTACTAAATAGAGAGTATAAACATTACAATATATAAAAGATTGTATACTTGCTTGGTAAATTCTTTAATTCCTTTCAAAGAATACCAATTCTTTCTAGAGTGGGAAATGAACATCTATGTTTTCAATTTACCTTTCAATTTATTTTAAAATTTTATATACACCACTACTAAATAGAGTATAAACATTACAATAAAAGATTGTGTACTTGCTTGGTAAATTCTTTAATTCCTTTGGTAATAAATACAGCATTTCTGTAGAAAGACCCCATCGTACTTCAAGTTCTATTTCCAATTGGTTCAGTAAAAACTGTCAAGAAAAATGTTAATAAATCCGTATATTTTTTGCAAATAGTCCTGTATTGTAGAATGTGTAATGTAAATGTACAGATCTTAATTAAGAGGTAACAGTACATGCATCCCAAGTGAGGAACCCTTTCGAGTACTCAACGTAAACAGCTAAAAACAGTCCCTGCAAACACAATTAATCTGTATTAATTCAACTTTTTAGTGCTTTTCAAGATCTTGTGTGAATATATGTTTAATATAATCAATAATTCATGTAAATATATATTTATATAATGTCTTGGAATTATATAATTTTAAATCAACAGTTGATACGATTAATTTCTGAGGTCGTATGACTATGGTAGTACAAGGTCCAGTGGTTTTATCTCCCTGGTTTACTTTTATAAAATCATTCGAAAAGTTAAAAAAAATTTATATCAACATAATTTGAGGAATTATACTCCCTCCCTCCTTGTATTATAAAGTAAGTTCAAATAATATGGATGCTCTAAATTCAAAAAATCTTTTAGACTTTTATCAAAATTAACAATCTAGTACATATATGAATTTAAAAAAAATATATAAAAAAAACTGAGAATCAATGAATATGAGATGAAAAATGAAAACACAATTAAACGAGATTCTTGGTATTGAACTAGGCCTAGTTAACTTAAATAGAGGTTGTCAGGCCTACCTTAAACTAGGCCTCTATACCAGGAGCTAAGCCCTAGCTAGTAAATAGTGTACAACGATAGGCAGGCTAGCTAGGCCTAGAATAAAATTACTCCTGAGGCCTTGCTTGATTGACTGACTGAGTGAGGAGCTAGCGCTCCACCTCAATCAGCAGTAGTAATAGGATTTGCGTCGTCAAAAATATATTTTTAGGCCAGATATATTCAACTCACTATTACGACACTCTCCTAATGTTTATAAAGCATGACAATATAATATTAGTTTTTCTAAGAACCCCTTTTGCATCTTGACGAAATCATGTGCACTTGTTTTGGTTTATGTAACAGCTGACATTTGAACTATAAATTAGTCACGCCCCTATTTGGGTTGAAAGTTGAGAGTTCAATAAGAATTTCGATGATCGATACTTCAACGCAAATCTGTAAATCTTCTTTGCTGACGTCAGAAGAGCAGGAAGAGAGTGTAAACTAATCTTTTTCTCTATAATAATACACACAATAACTTCAAGATGGTAAGCCTTTTCTATAATACATCATTTGCCTTGATACTAGGCCTATATGTCTTTCATACTCATCTAGTCTAGGCCTAGTAGTAGTATAGTAGGGTAGGATGGCAGCATCATCGGGCAAGAAGGTCTGCCAACCTGCTCTGGCTAGGCGGCCTCAGCTATATCAAAATCATTGTCTACAGTCTACAGACAGTACAGTAACCTAAAGAAAGGCTTGGTCTAGGTCTAAATATATTTTATCTTCCTCAAACGAACTTTTTAAAATCTCGGTGCCTTTGTTCATTTCTAGTTCTCAAAAATTAAAAACAAAGCCATATTATTATTAAAGCTAAAATTCGGTTGCTAGCAAAAGGGTTTCATAAAATCATATTGCAAAGTTCTCATCAGTGTGAGAGTGTAGTAACTAACGATATTTTTTTTGGTATTTTTAGATGCAATTCATGTTACTGTTTAGTCGTCAGGGCAAGCTGCGGCTACAGAAATGGTACCAGGCTCATCCTGATAAGGTTAAGAAGAAGATCTCGAGGGAACTAATCACAACTGTCTTATCTAGAAAGCCCAAAATGTGTAATTTCTTGGAATGGAGGGATCTAAAAATTGTTTATAAAAGGTGAATTTTCAGTTAAAAAATAGTCCTAATACGAATTATTCAGAATATGCTAAAAACTGTTTCTTTTGGAAAGAACACAATGTCATTTTTTGTTAACTGTCATTCAATATATACAAACCAGATGAATATTTCCCATCATGTTTCATTCAATGTTATATATTTTATTCTTTTCTTTTTTTTTGTTACAAAAGTCATATTCTCTTATAAATATAAGTTACTGTATAATTTAATTATAATATAGTTTTATCCTCTTTGGCTAAACATAATTTCAGCATATAAATATGAAGTTAAAACTTTTAGTAATGATAAATGTCTTTTAAAGCCAGGAATGTCTTTTTAAAGCTGAGGAAAAAAAGGTGGTTACACCCCTTTTCTCCCAGCTTTTAAATGTTCAAAAATCTGTATCTCATTAACCATTCTTGAGTTTTTCGTCACACCACTCTGCCATTCTTCAGTTCCATGTATCAAACAAGACATTGTCTACAATCTTAATCTGAGAAATGTACTTTTCAAATTCCTCTATCTGCAGTGTTCCTTTGCTGCATCACCCTTTTTTGTAAAGCTCAATTACAATGTAATGTACCATACCCTCAGTGGAGGTGTGGCACAAGATGCTTGCTTTCAAATCCCAAGGTCCAGTGTTCAAATCCTGTGACAGGATTTGTTCCTTGTAGCAAAGCCACAGTAAATATGCCATGAGCAGTATGGATAAATAAAGCACAACAAATGTACATCATTGTTATAATATCTGTAATCACTTTTTTTTCAGATATGCTAGCTTGTACTTTTGCTGCGCAATCAATGAAACTGATAATGAACTCCTGACTCTAGAAATCATTCATAGATATGTTGAACTTCTAGATAAATATTTTGGAAGTGTGAGTAATTTTCCTTTTACTTTTTTGAAATATTTCCTTTGCTGCAAATATAAACAAAACTAAAGAAAATGAAAATAATAATGCAACATAAATTGTGCATTTATGATACTGTTTTTATTCTACAGCAGATTCAACTATTGCTGATGGTGAATCACTATCAATACATCAGTAGAGTTATCTTTGAAAATCCAATTATAATCCACCAAGAAAACATATTATACAGAATTTTTCAATGTTCATTAACATCTTTCTTTTTGATGTGTAGAAATAAAAAGGAAAAAACTCCAAAATGTTTTACTGACCATTTTAAAGCATATTTAATAATTGATACCAACATAAATATGACTACTCTATTTTTATGTTTTATTATTAATGCATTATACTTACCTCAATAGGTTTGTGAATTGGACATAATTTTCAACTTTGAGAAAGCTTACTTTATGCTGGATGAATTAATGTTAGGAGGTGAAGTGCAAGAAACCAGTAAGAAAAATGTGCTTAAAGCAATACAGGCACAAGACTTGTTACAAGAGGTATGTACAGTAAAATATTTAAATACTAAGCATACATTACCAATATTGGACAACTTGCTTTTAAGGATATAAATTTTGAGTTTATGCAAGGGAATCATAATACAGTTAAAACTTGCCTAAGTCAACTTTTGCCTAACTTGATTAATTTATAAGTCAAATTTATTTAACATGCTAAATTGATCTGTAAGTAAAATTTTATTGTCAAACTAATTTTTAATGCCATTTTGGATTTGACTTGGGCAAGTTCAACTGTATTAAACCCTAGCAATGTCTCAAGTTGAAGAAGTGCATTTAATGGAGAATTTATTTTTGCCAGAATACTGGAATACTGATGTGTCAAACTTATTGATCATGAATAATACTTTGCAAATTTTGACCTCGCTAATTGAATTGGCAAATTACGAAAACATGCTACAAAATCTCAATGGTTAATTTCTTTCTTTTGATCAGCTAACAGAGTGTCCACCACACACTGTTGGATTTTCACCTAAAAAAATATCACAACACAAGAGATATTATTTAGTAGTTTTATGAGATCAAAAAATTACCAAATTCCAAAACACATGAAAGTAAACAGTGGAAGCTGTTTACTCTCATGTGCAGCAGGCTTTGAAGTGAAAGTTAATAAGGTTTTGATACATTTTAAACAGAAATGTAATGCCTATTTTTCTTTTTCTTCAACAGGAAGCTGAGGTGAATCGTAGTGTACTGGAAGAGCTAGGCCTCACATAAATTCTGCTTCAAGAAGTTATTACCATCCTATATGTTTTATCCATACCAACTTAATGTGACCCTTGAACCTTGGCCAACTGATCCCTTAAAGCCAGGCACTCAGCTCGCCTCGCGGTCGATGTGATTTTTATGGAGAACGCAACACCATGGCATATGTGCTACGGATCGTTTTTAATGACGATCGTTCAGACTGCCGCAATCAGCAGATCGTGTTACGTAGCTGGATTCATTTTACGACACATTGAGTTCCTGGCTTTACTCTTTGATGACATAATCTTGAATATTACTGTATTGTATTCAGAAATCTCTTATAACTTATTTAGCTTTATGATTGATAAAGTAGATTATAAGTAAAGATCATGCTTTGCTAAAAGGCTGATGTTGCAGTTTTAAAACATTGTCAAATTTCCCTGCTAGATTGAGATCTAATTGGTATACAGATGAGATGGCAAAGGTGTGATGTAGCATGTGTTGTAGTACAGGGGTTCCAAGTCTTCCATGAATCTTTGAATTTGGAACCACTGTGCTGTGACGCAGGTGTCTATAATGTACCAGGGGTCCCATGTCTCCCGGAAAATAACCCATATCCTGCAATTTCATAATATTTGCAAGTTTTCACTACCTTATTATCAATGGTCTCATGCACGTCAGTGCCTATGGGTATTGCCATGTGCAGCAAAATAAAAATAAATATGTTAAGGAAGCTCATTAACCAGATGTCACAGAATTTGGGACTCCTGATGTACATACCGTCGCTCACATCAACTAACACAATCAAAGTAGATTGTGTTAGTTTGTGAAATCACAGTAGCGCGTCAAAACGAGCGCATATTGGTTGTCAAGCAATTTTGTATTCTTTACCACACAAAAGTCCTTAACAACAACAGCGCGTATTTCGACGCGCTTTTTTGATTTCACGAACTAACACAATCTACTTTGATTGTGTTAGTTCGTGATGTGAGTGACGATACATACAATATTTAAAGCCCATTTTACAAGTTTCTTTACTTTTTTTTTCTTGTATCATAATGACATTTCATGTACAGTATTACCTGTATTACTTATTAATGGTAAGTTTGAATATACTATAATTGTTGAGTGTGCTTTGAATAGTACTATCAAAAATACAAATTTTTTCCCCCAAGTCATAATGAAGCTTTAAATCAATATGTTATTTTCATTCCATTTATAATTATATGCATGTTACTTTGTACACCAATGAAAAGCATACTACAATAAAATAAGAACGAAAACTGAGTTAAATATTTTCTGTCTTTTATTTTTGTTATTAGTATGATGCTCATAAAAGAAATTATAAAATTACCCTAAAGGATTACGGTTAATATACTGGCAACTGATGAACTGCGTTTATACAACCATGAAGGAAAATAATTAATTCCTCCATGATACAACAGTGACAGTTATTTTGGTGTTTGCTTACAACAGGGGTGGGCATAAAAATGGGTCGGAGTACTAAAGTAAATTATTTGATTTAACACCTGTACTTTGATTTTCCAGTGTGCTTCCAAAAACCTTCATGGACTGCTTTTATACCATTTTATTTTAAGTTATAATATTACTTTACCCAATGATTGGTGCTGGGTCATAAAAAAATAAAACAAGCAGATTTCTAACCAAAGATGGTTGGCAACCGCACTTTTCCCCCACCTTTGGTATGCAAGCAAGATCATACTTTATAGCCAGAGGAGATGGTAGTTTATAAATAGAGAGTATGGAAGTGTATATCAATCATTAGCCATTGTTATTGTCATTACAATTGTTCGCTGTCACAATTGTTACCATTAATAACCTCATGAACTTCATTTTCACAATTTTCCACAGAGCCACCATCACTACTTGCATTATCAGTTTCAAGTGTTTTATCAGTTTTTTTGTTTTTCTTATGTTTTTTGTGCTTGGATTTCTTGCGTTTCTTGCGATCCTTTCTTCCATTATTATCAAGCACATCATGTTTTTCTTGGTCCCTACACAGAATCTCCACCTGTGATTCTTTACACTCCTTTGTACTACTCTCTCCGTCTCTTACTTCTCTACCTCTCGAATTATAAGATTTTTCTCTGCTGCCACTCCGAGACCGAACACCTTCACTGTCACCACATCTTTCTTTTTGATTTCTGGACCTTTCCTTTTGTTCGCCATCCCTTTCCTGGCTTTTACTCCTGGAATGATGTTTGTCTCTATCCCAATCCCTGTCCATGCTTCTACTTCTTGACCTTTCCCTACTATAACTCCTACTCCTGCTACGAGAGTTACTTTTGCGTCTTTCTCTATTCTCTTTTCTATGTGAATACCTTTCTCTACTTCTTTTCCTTCTGCTTCTGTGTCGCTCTCTGCTCCTGCTTCTGCGCCGTTCTCTGCTTCTACTTCTGCGCCGCTCCCTACTCCTATGTCGCTCTCTGCTCCTACTCCTAGTCCTGTGTCGCTCCCTGCTTCTACTCCTGTGTCGTCTGTGCTTCTCCCAACTCTCATCTCTGGATCGCCATCTCGAATGATCCCTAAAGCGTCTCTCGCTTTGCATGGGAGTGTCTAGCCTTGATCTCTCACTAGGCCACCCTCCTCTCCGTGAGCTCCACATCTGTGAGTTTATTTCATCTGCTTCAGGAAACTCATTGGTTGGGTTACGGAACACATGCAGGAAATTACAGTTCTTTCCTTTTGGGCACTTTTTTCGGTGGTACAAGCCTACAAAAAAAAAAAAAACACATATATCAACAACACAAATACCAACAAAATATTATTTCTGTAATAAAGAAAACCATTATTTTTAATAGAAAGCGGAATGCAATCATCAAATACTAACCCATTTATTAGAATTAAAATACTGTATTATGGAAATTTAAAAGAGAACCACAATATCCGATCAAAGAACATATTATTTTTTTTTTAATGAAATGAGAAAGAAGTTTTTTGTTAATCATGATCTATCATAAAGCCCCACTATTCTTTGTTTTCAAAATGTTGGCATGAATTTGAATACTCACCACAAATTGCTGCATTCCAATTTGTAACTGGAGAATATTCACAAGACAGCTGCCTACCAGCATAGAAACGACCGTTAAACATGCTGAAAGCGTTACTACAGCCAGCCTCTGTCTCAAACTCAACATACACATTCCCCCTCAGGTGAGGTTCCCAATTACTGCATACCTGGTGAAAATGAATATCATTACAAAATGTTAATAATGGTTAGATATATCAACAAAAATACAAATAAAGACATTTTATATGCAGTGAATACAATAGGTTGACTGGTTGAAAATAAACATAGAATAAAACAATTATTTGTGAATGGGAATTCATGATGTTCATGTACTGAGGGAGAGTATTCCATAATGTTTGCAGCAGCTAATCAGTGTATTTGGCATTTTAACCCTACCAGGTACTAACTTATACTTCTGAGATGCAGATAAAGTGCCTTTCTCAAGGACACAAGTGAAATGCACAGCGAGGGATTCAAACTTTAAGGTGGGAAAGCAAACCATTCCTGCTGCTTTAAACCATTTCTATCAACCAAAATAGAAGGGGAGAGCAATGATTTACACAGAACTGTAGAATTAGGCATAGGCCAACATAAAAAAAAAAGAAAAAAATAGAATCTGAAACCAATTCTTACAATATAATTATTACCTTAAATTGAATAACTTTGCCAGCTTTCTTGAACTCAGCCAGTGCATCATCATAGAATTCACAAAAAGCATCCTGGGTTTCCGCTTCGTCGAACTCCAATCCAATATCAGCATCGTATTCATCTCGATAACTTTGCTCCATGGCGTAACAGTAAAACATTCCCTTGATCAGTAGTGTTGCACTGATTAAAGGATACTCGTGGTTGCGAGAACACCTACAAACATCATCAACAAACGAAGTACTAAGTGGCAGATCCAGGAATTTGAAATGGAGGGGGAGTGGGGGGCAGGGCGCAAATTTTGCAGATGGAGAGTCTAAACAGCTCAGCCTCAACATGGTTAAGGAATTTATGATTATGGCACCTCTATGTGACTAAAAATTTCATTTTTATCTCCATTTTATTTTTATAATCTTTAGATACTTAGGTGGGGGTAGGGGGAGGGTGGCCGGCTGGCCCCACCCCTTGAATGCACCAGTGATGCTAACACATAAATATTTATACAAACAATTCTTCACGATATAGTAACATTCAGATGATAAAGTTACATTATTCCAATCTGAAATTGATTTTGGATAACATAGAAATCAGAATCTAAACTGACAATACTGTAACTATAAAGTGAGATTCAGATGATAAGAATCACATAACTACAATCTGTGAAATTGATTTTGAATGACAGAATTGAAAATCTAAACTGACCTATTGCCAAAGCGACATACACCTGTTTTCAGATAAAACTTGCATTCTTCTGGTTTCCTCTCGATGTACCTCGGTGCTTCTGGGTTGTGCGTGGGTGCATCCTATTGAGTAAGCCAAACAATACGGTAAAAAGATCAAAGCAAACACATAACAGAAAAAGTATATAGAAAGTTGGAAAAAAGTACAAACAATATAATTTCAATGAGAATAAAAGCACATAAACAAAGACATATGGGTACAGTATTTGTTTTTTGATTTTCTTTTTTGGTGGGGTGGGGGGAGCGAGATGTAATAATTGTGCATGCTGTTGACCTACATTGCTCCGACCGTTAAACATGCTGAAAGCGTTACTACAGCCAGCCTCTGTCTCAAACTCAACATACACATTCCCCCTCAGGTGAGGTTCCCAATTACTGCATACCTGGTGAAAATGAATATCATTACAAAATGTTAATAATGGTTAGATATATCAACAAAAATACAAATAAAGACATTTTATATGCAGTGAATACAATAGGTTGACTGGTTGAAAATAAACATAGAATAAAACAATTATTTGTGAATGGGAATTCATGATGTTCATGTACTGAGGGAGAGTATTCCATAATGTTTGCAGCAGCTAATCAGCGTTTTTGGCATTTTAACCCTACCAGGTACTAACTTATACTTCTGAGATGCAGATAAAGTGCCTTTCTCAAGGACACAAGTGAAATGCACAGCGAGGGATTCAAACTTTAAGGTGGGAAAGCAAACCATTCCTGCTGCTTTAAACCATTTCTATCAACCAAAATAGAAGGGGAGAGCAATGATTTACACAGAACTGTAGAATTAGGCATAGGCCAACATAAAAAAAAAAGAAAAAAATAGAATCTGAAACCAATTCTTACAATATAATTATTACCTTAAATTGAATAACTTTGCCAGCTTTCTTGAACTCAGCCAGTGCATCATCATAGAATTCACAAAAAGCATCCTGGGTTTCCGCCTCGTCGAACTCCAATCCGATATCGGCATCGTATTCATCTCGATAACTTTGCTCCATGGCGTAACAGTAAAACATTCCCTTGATCAGTAGTGTTGCACTGATTAAAGGATACTCGTGGTTGCGAGAACACCTACAAACGTCATCAACAAACGAAGTACTAAGTGGCAGATCCAGGAATTTGAAATGGAGGGGGAGTGGGGGGCAGGGTGCAAATTTTGCAGATGGAGAGCCTAAACAGCTCAGCCTCAACATGGTTAAGGAATTTATGATTATGGCACCTCTACGTGACTAAAAATTTCATTTTTATCTCCATTTTATTTTTATAATCTTTAAATACTTAGGTGGGGGAATGCACCAGTGATGCTAACACATTATAAATATTTATACAAATTAATTCTTCACGATATAGTAACATTCAGATGATAAAGTTACATTATTCCAATCTGAAATTGATTTTGGAAAACATAGAAATCAGAATCTAAACTGACAATACTGTAACTATAAAGTGAGATTCAGATGATAAGAATCACATAACTACAATCTGTGAAATTGATTTTGAATGACAGATTTGAAAATCAAAACTGACCTATTGCCAAAGCGACATACACCTGTTTTCAGATAAAACTTGCATTCTTCTGGTTTCCTCTCGATGTACCTCGGTGCTTCTGGGTTGTGCGTGGGTGCATCCTATTGAGTACACCAAACAATACGGTAAAAAGATCAAAGCAAACACATAACAGAAAAAAGTATATAGAAAGTTGGAAAAAAGCATAAACAATAAAATTTCAGTGAGCATAAAAGCACATAAACAAAGACCAAGTGGTACAGTATTTGTTTTTTGATTTTCTTTTTTGGTGGGGTGGGGGGAGCGAGATGTAATAATTGTGCATGCTGTTGACCTACATTGCTCATGTATGACAGATCAGTGGCAGATCCAGGAATTTAAAATAAGAGTTTAATAAGAGAGGGGGGGGGGGGTTCCTCAGGATACTTTCACATATGGGGTCTAGGCCTATGCCACCTCAGCCCCACAATAGTTTTGCCTGAGTAAGAAAATTTATGATTATGGGTCCTTGGAAATGGCACTCTGTCTTTAATTTGAATATAATTTTCTGTTTTCTCCATTTTTAAAAATAATTTTAAAAGTTTAGGGGGCCCAGGTTGGCTTGGGCCCCTCCCCACTTGAATCCACCATTACAGACAACCTCTCCCAACAGCATACAATAATGAAAAACTAATTTGTAATTTTGCTGTTCCAAAACATTAGGCCCACAAACGTTGTATCCTGTATCACGCAGATGATGATGAATATCACAAAATAGGTCTATTTGTGGAGACAGGTGGAGGTGTAGAGTATTACATGTGGATAATTACCGTATTTTCAACACCTTGGTCATCTTCATCACTTAAAACATGCAAAGCATCCTGGGAAATATACAGAATTTACAAAATTCACATAGTAGCTGAAGGAAATGTTAAGTATTGTGGGATAGCTCTTGAAATACCTAAGGCAATATGTTCTACTGTTGCTTTAAAGTAAAATAATTAAATAAATGAACATAAAAAATATAAAAATACATATTACGATATTTTGTATTAAAATTACAACAAAACAGTAAAATACTTTAAAGACTATTTTTAAAAACTAATTTATGCAATTGTCAAACTTAATACTGTATAGCTACAACAAATTTAAAGTATTATATAAAAATCCAAATATTTTGTCACAGAATAAAAGATACACGATTTAGCTGCGGACACCTGGAACACATCTCATTTGCATACAGGTAAATAGATTCAAGTTAATCATACTGATGAACAGTTCAAGTACACAGTTAAGGAACAATATTTTAAATACAAATAATACTGTATTTCTAATTAAAAAAATATAACAATTATTATGAATATAAAATAAAACATTAAAATAATAATATATTAGTTCACTATCTGTGTAGGTATAATATATCACATTTTATTTCAACACAATCTGGGGATTGTAGGGGAATATATAACATCTACTGTAGGTTACTGAAAGATCAAATGAAGTAATGATTGTATTGAGATAAAAAGTTAGAAACAAAGTATATTTTAAGCGGATATGGAAAGTTGAGCAAACATCATCTTCTTGTCTCTTTCTCCTTATTTTCACCTCAAGTAATTTTTCCTTGCTTGTTTTCTTATTTTTGCTGTTCAGAAATTCCTTTTCCATGTTCTTTTGCTTCTCCAATTCTTCTTCTATTTTCCTCTGAAACAGATTTTTAAACACACAATTAACAAATGAAAAATGGACTTACAAATAACTTAAAATTAATTAACTTGGAATGAATAGGCATATCTAATAGGTGGGGGGGGGGGGGGGCTAATGAGGGAACAAAGGTTAAGTGGGTGGGGCACTCCAAGGGACTCCATAGATAAGCCACTGAATGGATTTACTATTAGGGAATGGAAACATTTGCAGCACAACAAAAAACTTAATGAAGTGCTGCTTTGCTTATTTGATGTCTACAATTTTGGTGACCTTTCACCCCAAAAATCACCTCTTCTGAATTTTATGTCAAAGTTTGACTTACCTCTGCTTCTTCTTGCTGTTTCTTCCATTCTTCCTCTTGCTGTTTTTTCCTTTCAAATAATATCTGTGCTACTCTTTCCCTCTCAAGCCAGGCCTGATGTGCTTTTTCTCTGGTAGAAGTGCACATAAAATAATTAGCCGAATACATTTCAGAAATATGTACTTTAAAGCTATCCTACCGAATATTCCTTTCAATCTCTTCTGTTCTTGTCTCTTGTTCATCATCTTCTCCTTCACTTATGTGCGGTATAGAGTCTGTATCATTTTGTTCTGTTAAAACACAAGATAAAACATTTGTTTTTTGTATAACCTTTTGTACCATTTGCTTGCTATGATTACATCGCAAAACCTGTAACATCATCAAAAATACAACATCTACATTTCTATAAAATTTTCATAATTTTTGATTGGTTGCATTTCTTATTATTAATCAGTCCAAGGCATATGGTTATCATAGAGAAATAACACCAAATAATTATTAGTTTGAATTTATCATTAGATAATTAGACAATTAAGGTTAAAAATATATTTTGCTTGCATCAAGGAAAAAGTGTTATGAGTGAAAATAAAAACTAAATTCTATAAAATGCCCTCTTAAAAGCATAAAATTTTACAAAAATATCATTGATCTAAAAATTTACTTTCTACCTGAACTAATGTGAAAGAATGTTTATATTAGTCTTAATCTATTATTTAAATATTTAATTGTTTTATTATGTTATTAGACTAAAATATATTCATATTTTGCTTAGCTAATAAAAAGAATTTAGAAAATGTTGATAATCTGGACAGAGCTTCACTGTTTTTGAAGTTTTATGTTAATATTTCATCATATTCTTAAAAGTTATTTCAGACTATGAAATATATTTATTATTTATATATTTAATTATTTTTTATTGTATTATTAATTAGACCAAAATATATTTGAATTTCAAAACAGTGTAATATATTTTTTTTTATATCAGATGTATATTTTTCTTGTTCCTTTATATTGGCCTTATACTGTAGCTATACTTTCTTTATTTATATTATTTTTTTGCTATATGTGGTATTGTTAGTTTATTTTTCTGCGTCATAAATCAGTAAGGGGTGTTTTGTCTGTCATTGTTTTCAAGTTTCTTGTTTTTACTTTTGATTTTAAAAAAAATATGGGTAATTCCATGTCAAATCAACCAAAAAAAAACCTCAATCTCTCGGAATTTGTTCAAATTTTTGTATGCTGTTGGGACCCATGAAAAATGATCAGAAATGAAAAATTTTTTCTCTAGGCCTCCTAATTAGCGAGATATCTGCTAACGAACTTTTGGCTAATTAGCGATACCTTGCGTGTTTAACCGACCATATCTCGAAAAGCGCGGCACCTACAGAGCTGATTTTGGTGTCATTTTAAAGCTATTGAGTAGCTCTATAACTTTATTAATAAATGCTAAGTCCTCAATTCAAATATAAAAAAGTTATGACAGGTTGTAAAGTTCAAAGTTGAATAAAAAAAATATATATCTTTTTTTTTTTTTGGAAATTCATGTTAGAGATACCTAATGATGTAAAGAAGCTTCCCTATAAGTTTGGTGATGGGCGCTCCAAAAGTTCCTGAACAATGAGCAAGTATTATGTATACTTGTCAATTCGAAATTGCATTTTCCGTATAATAACACAGTATTGTACCTATATAGGAAAACCAACAGTACACCATACTGCTTAGTTTTATATGTAGGTATGAGAAAATTAAACTTGCATCACTTGAAAATTCTCAGGTGGAAATTCCTTGGGATTTTGCAGGTGGATATTTCTTTGAATTTCAAAATAGGAACATGGTATTCCCATTGGAAAATCCCAGATTAGCACTGACCTACAGTATCAGGATTTTTCAGAATAGTTTCTGAAGTCATTTCAAGATGTCACAAAGCAAGACTCATTATATATTAAGGCAGACTTTCTGCTTTGATCCATTTGGAGTACATAAAAAAAAGAATAAATCAGGTTTTAAGGGAAGTAACTGAAAAGCTTATTGCAGACCATCAAAATCTTAATCTTAAAAGAGGACAGAAGATTTGCACACAATGCCGCAAGAAGCTTGCAAAACAACAGCCAGAATTAAAAGTGTGTGAGTTACCATTACCATCTGTAACTTCAACTAGCAGTAGTGAAGATGATGGCAATGGGAATGTTCCTGGTTCTTCTATGGATACTGAATTTCACACCTGTGAGTGACCTACAAACATTGAATAAGTCTTTGGAACTAATAGGTGAATCACCTGTTGACAAAAAACGACTACAAAGGGACAAGTATGTGAAAGGTAAGACACGGAAAATTGGTGAAAGTGTCAAGAAAAAGTTAGAAACTACTATGGGT